AAAGAGATGAAATATATAAAAGTATTGGTTTTTCGGCTCATTTGAAGTAATTGAAGAGTTTGAATTGATTCTGATCATTGCCATTCAGTATGAATTGTATTTTTGTTTAAGCTTTGTATTGACCATGGAAAATCTTCTGTGTCTTATTTGGACTATTGTTAAGTACTTATATATTGGATTGTGATAACAATTGTATTCAGATACGTCAATTAGGATTATACTGGAAGTACAGCCACAATTCTTGGTAAGATATTAAATTTCTTAGCAAGTACATATCTGTACTGTGTTACATAAAGATGGATGTAGTTTATGTGCTTTTTGATGGGTATTTTTTTCTTTCTGGCTTTTGTTGATAATGGTGAAAAAGAGGGCAGATTATTTCAAAGAGGGTAGTAAAATCATAAGGCAAAGGACAAACAAAACCCTGGCCTAAAAAATGATTAAAGAGACAATAGTCCACAAAACACTACACCAAAAACTGAGGATTGAACAATACAAGCCCCTTTAAAATCTGGGAGTATGAACTTGTGTATTTTGGAAGTGAATGACAGAATCAAGTAGTGAGAATTGACAGATAGTGTTAACTTCCCTTATTTACCATGGTAAATAGTTTTCTTTTGTCCTCTACTATAGGTTTGAATCAAACTTTTAGACAGCAACCCAACAACACAAATTAACCAAAATTGAATATGTACAGGTTCATGTATAATAGTATGTTTTCTGTCTTCATTGCCCCCAGTTAGTTGAGACAATTGTTTCTATGCTAAACATTTGTTCTGGTCACAGATTAACTTGTCATTTCAATAAAGTGATTGTTGCTACTGAAAAGATCTGGATATTTGACACAACCAGCTTCAAATTGAAAAAGAAACCAAAGGGAACAAACAGTTTGATTTCACTTATGTTGATATGGAATGGTTGTAAACCAAGCTATTTCTATAAATAAGAAGATGTGGTATGAGTTCCAATGAGACAACTCTCCATCATAGTCACAATATGTAAAAAGTAAACAATTATAGGTCAAAGTACGTCCTTCAACACGAGCTTTGGCTCTCACCGAACAGCAAGCTCTAAAGGGCTCCAAAAAGACTAGTGTAAAACAATTCAAACAGGAAAACCAACGGTCTAATCTATATTAAAAACGAGAAACGAGAAACACTAATGAAACACACCAACAAACGACAACCACTAACAACAGGCTCCTGACTTAGGACAGGTGCATAAAAATGCAGCGGGTTTAAACATTTTAACAGGCGCCAACCTTCACCCTAACCTGAAACAGTGGATAACATTACAACATAAAAAGACACACAATAAAATATCAATTGAAATGACTTAACTCGATCAAAAAGACAATGCACAAAAACAAGTAAATATACACTGAACAAATAAGTTTGATCTATGACACAATATGAATAAAAAAGATGTTTCAATGTCTAGTATATTACTATGTATAACACATTACTGTGTCCAGCACAACTCTATGTCTTCTCTTCAGCGGACAGTTATCACATTTAATTGCTTAAATTCAACCATTTAACTCTCTTTCTTATTTAGTATTCAAATATTGACAAAATTGATCTCCAAAGGGTATGTGTTTACAATTGTCCAGATTTCCTGAAAGACAAAATAGCTGAATTGGCATGAATATATGCACTGCTTGAATTAGATTAATCTGACTTTTTATTATATTTGTAGTAAGGATTATTATAAAGGAATTGTTTCTGTTTAAACAAAGATTGTAAGAATGTGTCCATAGAAGTGTACAGTAATATCCTGGCTGAAGTGTGTCAGTAAACATTCTGTCCTTGGAATATTGATGGTCGTTGTTGAAATGTTTCTGATTAATTGAAGCTGACATTGGCAACAGGAAATTATCATGTCATATAGTACTATTTCTTACAATTTGATAATTTTCAATATGAACTTTTTTACTTTAGTGTCTGGTGTTTCAAGAAGTGTGTTATTTCTTTTTATAAATTTATTAGGGCCCTGCCGAATGGAGGACGCCCTATAGTGATCAGTCTGTCCGTCCATCCGTCTGTCCATCCGTCCGTAACAAATTGTGTCCGCTCTGTATCTAGAGAACCGTTATGATTTCAAAGTTAATACTTGACATGTATATTAACCAACACCAGAGGGTGTGTCATAATGTATGTACAACTTCCTGGGTCAAAGGTCAAGGTCAAAAACTTTGTTTTTAGTTGACAACCTCATGTCCTATGGTAAAGATCGTGTCCGCTCTATATCTTGAGAACCGTTATGATTTCAAAGTTTATACTTGACATGTATATAAACCAACACCAGAGGGTGTGTCATAATGTATGTACAACTTACTAGGTCAAAGGTCAAGGTCAAAAACTTTGGTTTTAGTTGACAACCCCATGTCCTATGGTAAAGATCGTGTCCGCTCTATATCTTGAGAAATGTTATGATTTCAAAGTTTATACTTGACATGTATATAAACCAACACCAGAGGGTGTGTCATAATGTATGTACAACTTCCTAGGTCAAAGGTCAAGGTTAAAAACTTTGGTTTTAGTTGACAACCCAATGTCCTATGGTAAAGATCGTGTCCGCTCTATATCTTGAGAACCGTTATGATTTCAAAGTATATACGTGACATGTATATAAACCAACACCAGAGGGTGTGTCATAATGTATGTACAACTTCCTAGGTCAAAGGTCAAGGTCATAAACTTTGGTTTCAGTTGACAACCCCATGTCCAATGATAAAGACACAAATTTTTTACCACACATTATTCACAGCGGGACCCACAGAGATGGCTTCCATCTCAGTGATATCTAGTTTTGTCTCTTAGGCTTGAAGGTGACTGAAGGTAATGGATAATAAAAATTTGTTTTCCTCTGGAACTTCTTTTGTATTGGTCCCTGATTTTAGCTTTTGTATTGGGAAACATGGACAAAGTCATTTATTCCAAACATATTAGGCTAAGTTAACAGTAGTGTGGCTATTGAAACTAAAAATGGTGAAATTTCTATTACACTTTGCCAAAAATGTAGTTTGTGTCATGCTTTTTACAAAATCATATCAAATGTTCCTGTGTAAGTCTGAAAAGCTATAATTGTCAAAAAGATTAATTCATTGAAAACAATCCTGCAAATAAATTGTATGTTTATAATGAAAGATTGCTTTTTTCAATAAAAATGTATACTGATCATTCAAAATATATTTCTTCTGTATTTTTTTTGAATTCCAATATGACCTGAAGTTGACACTAGGACTGTATATAGCAACTACATGTTTATTAGGAATTAAGAAGCCTAAGAATTTTCATCTGAAAATGATCATAAGTTATTGAATAAAAGTTAATAGAAATGCCTTTTAAAGATTAATAAAAAAATACTATTCAAAATTGGAATCATTTTAAAGGTATACAATATACTATTAAAAGTCAAGTCATTAAAGGCCATATGTTGCAGTGTGTAGAGTCTACAAGAATAAAGATCTAGGTAGAACAGGAGGACAGTAATACTGTCAAGCTCAGTTTGTATCTAGAGACATATAGATAGCTCTACTGTATAATGTCTTGCTCTAATCAGGTAGAATACTATATTGGATCACTCACTAGAATTATTATTCTTATAAAATCATTTCACTTCAATTATATCATATTTCAGTAATAAAAACAATTTATGAATTATTGATATCACCCTTTTTGTGATATCAACTTTATGAATTATTTTTTATATTGTTGACAGAAGAAGATTATTGGTATGCATGAACAGCTATATCAACAGCTGGGCAGGTCTCTCAATGAACCATCAGTCATGATTGTATCAAAACCAAATTTTCCTTGATCATTATGATACAAATAATGATAATGTCAACATTATAAGTTTACTAAACAATAATGTTGTATCTGTTATTTTGATCTGGATTGACAGGACATGTTGTACTGCTTTATTGTTGTGTTCATAGGTGGGCAGATGTTTTTAGACTTTTGTATTTTTATTCATCTATTCACGTTTCAATTTTTCATAAAATTATTGAAGGTAGTGGTTCAATCGGGATAATTGGGATGTTTCTTTCCATGACGTTAATATATATTAATAAGTAATAAACTGAAAACATAATTGTCCAGTTTTAATTTCTGGTTTTTCATCTTTCTCTTTTATGTCTATGCAAAACTCGCTTAAATAATCACAGGACGATGAAGAATAGAAACAATTTAATTATTCAATTTTAATTTGAAACATTACCTGCTGTTTTTAAAGCAATTACAATTACCTACAGTGTGTGAAACATCAATTTACCCACTGTTATTGTCTATCTTTAATATTTCATTATGTGTATATGATGTATTCAATTGGAAACATTTAATTTTGAAATCGTTATCAATTTGTAGAAATAAAATCGTTTCTTTATAAAGCGTAAAAATAAATTAGAATTCCGGAAAATTGAGGTGCATATCAAATTATTCTTTATGAAAATTGAAAAAAAATATTGTTATTTTGTCATAGCTCATTTAAGTCTACAAAAGCAAACAATTGAGGATATGATTTAACCAAATGAGGCATACATTTGATCAACCAAGATTTTGATCAAGATTATTAGAGAACTCCATCGTGAGTCACATGCAATTACACAGGAAACAATGCTTCGTCATAATGCGTTGCTGTTTGTCACAGCAGCTAAAACACTTGATTAGTGTTTCAAATCAATTTACTATACATAATCATAACACCTTACCGAAGGTTAAAGTAACTGATACAAATGTCATCGGTGAAATATTTTCCATGTTATAACAGAAATAAAAACGGAAAAGAAAATTTAAAGGACACAGGGTTTAAAATACTATAAGAAGTGTGACTCAATCGCTTAATACATCATTGTCACCATCGTGTGCCATAGGCATGGACTTTACCCTGATTGGCTCTCTCCAGCAGTAAAGATCTCTCTTGTACAAATTGATCTCAAGGATAGCCTAAGGGAGGAAAATTTCTTAATGACGAGCATATTGAATTCTGTTTTTCAGATTAGAGAATGAATTTTGGAGGATGATTAAAAATAAAATTTGAAGACAACTGTTTCATCAAATGGAGAAAGTGGATTAAAAATTCAAAAATGTGGAAATTGGTGTATTTAACGGATTTGTTTATTTGGTGGTGGCTTATTATTTCCATAGTAACAGGTAAGTTTTATCAAATTTATTGTAATGCAGGAAATCGGACTTCAATTCATGCACAGGATCAAATTGTTAACAAAAAAATATTGATTTTGATTAAATGGAAATTGATTCTCAATGCTTATAATCTGAAGATTTATTTCCTGTCTTATTTTATGAATCAAAAACACAGCTTACACGAACCAAGCAACAGATTGTAGTGACATTAACAACTGACTGAGGACCACAACTTAATGCATGTATATTGTCCTGATGAAAAATTATATAAATATATACATATATAATGCTGAAAGTTTAACTTCAAATTTTAGTTTTGAGTTAGAATGATTATTTATCGTTTTGATTTTTATGTAAAGATGACATCAGATAAAATCTTAGCTATCAGACAATCACTCTGTATCTGTACATTTGTTGTTTGAATGATAAAACAGTTTACTATTCATATCATCATTTATAAAGATTAAATTTTATTGTCACATTTCAAATTTCAGATCTCTTTTGATGTTATATTGAGGACTCAACTCCCCTTTATTTTATTGAACTTAGTTTTGGTTTAAAATAGGATTTTTTTGTTATGGAAATGGTACATTTGGTAATATTATTTTACCAATTTAATAAAGCTTGAAATTGAAATCTTGTTTTAATTTTTAAAATGAGATATTTAGTTGATGGGTAATGAATATTTGAAATTCTGAAACATCAAATGAAAGTTCAATACAATTATAGTTTTTATTGACTTTTGGAAATGACAAAAATGCAAAATAATGGGATTATTTGTTACTATGGGGTATTTTCTTCAATTAAGGAATAACATGGAGAGAAAGGCATGTTAAACTGTTAGTTAGGTGTTAGTCTACTTATCTTAGGTGTTGTAGTTTTATATATACATAACTTTTGTAAGATACAGCTTCATGAATAAGAATTACGGATTGATGCAAAACTTTAGTAGTGTCATTTTAAATTAGTTTCTTCTTTTATTAATTGAAAAGTTAAAAAAATTCACAACTTTTTTTGGACACTGCAGTATTGAGCTTCACATATGGCATAGACATCTGTTGTTAAAGACTCTCTGTTGATCTCTGCATATCTTCTTGTTTTTGTTTTGTTGGGTTGCTGTCTCATTGACATATACTGCGGTACCTCAAATTAACTTTAATAGGTATATTTAGCAAAAATCTTTCCAGCTGTGTTTGAAAGCAATTCACTAGTTTTAATTAGGTTTTAAGTTTTTAATTTATTTTTTCTTCAGCTGTTACTTTTTGAACTTAAGTCATGTTATGCTAAATGCCCATTTTATTCGTTGAAATTAATCCAATTTCTTAATTCTTTATTTAAAACATATTTCACATGCTATCTTTTGTTAATTTTAAATATGATATATAACATCTGTTTGAAGTTATACTTACCTGATGAACACCTGTTTAGCGATTTGTTTCATCTTTCCTTTGATCTTTACCTGATCATGTTTAAAGTTTCAATACTTATTGTTTATATCTACATTATGCTGTGGTATAATATTTATGATGATTATTTAAAATCATTGCATTGCATAGTCACATGCATGCAGTGATTGACATGTGATGGACATGTGGTGGTAAAAATTGGTCTTTTTTTTTACTTGCTTTTGGTTCAGAAAGGGACCAAGATGTCAATTGTTTTTTTGGCAACTTTAGATGGCTACGTCATTGTAGTAACAAATACCTCAAATCTCCCTTTTCCCTTATTTTTCATTTGTCTGTCTTATTTGTGTAGGTTTGCAGCAGATGTGTTTGTGTTCTTTTTAAAATAACGAAAATAAACTTAACTGAGCCAAACATAAACAACTGGAATAAAGTTAGAAAATATGGATAAAACTTCTTGAATTAAAGCAAAAAGCCAAAAATATCTATAGAAAAGTTTACCCATGTGTTGATTCTGGTTTTGGTTTTGTTGACTGGTATCCTGTTTGATATTATATAATATTGAATATGAACAGCAACAGTTTTGGAATCTAAGAAAACCTTTATCATTTTAATCAGTTTAAAAAGACAAAAGAATGCCTGCCTGTGATGAGTTCATTATAAATACTGTTACACTCATTAGTGGTTACCAGAAGTTACAATGTTTTCATCTGGTCTAATGGTACAATTATTCCTATAGAGATGCTTTGTTAATTTTATTCAAACCATTATATTGAAATGCAGAGTCTTATGTGACTTGTAAAAAGAGGAAATGTTTCCATCCCTGAAACACAAGTTATAGAAATATATGATTGGCTTGATCTGTATGTATAATTTGACTTCATATAGTTTTAAATTTTTGAATGGGTTAGTTTTCCAACAGTTATAATTATCTATTTTCCTTTATTTTTTTTTTGTATTTTTTTTTTTGGGGGGGGGGGGGAAATGGGTGTGTGAACTTGTATGATTTGAGTGATTACCTTATATCTGATAAGATAACTTTAGTTATTTCATTCATGTCAATGGAATGTATTTGTCCTTAGGGATTTATTTGTTAAAAAATTGACAACATTATGATTGGGTCACCAATTTGTTTTTAAAATTTATGAAATGTTTATGAATGGTGTAGGTTTTACATGACACATTGTGACAGTGTATGTCAGTCTTATTTTCATTGGAAAATGGAGCAGTAGACCTCCTTAACTTAACGAAGGTCAAGCAATGTTGAATATTTTAATAAAAAGCATCATATTTTCTAACAAAACCTTTTTGGTGCAAACAGAAAAATTTTATACGTTAAGGAATCTGACCATGGGATGTTTTTTATATTCTGTTTACATCTTATTTCATAACAGGTGTTTTAATCATGGGAAAATATTTACCTCTAGATCCAAACATTGATAATAGTAAAAATTATAGTTAAAAACCCAAAGTAGCCCATCAGATTATGGACTCTGCAACTACGATTTGACAGTACTTTATTCATGTGTTTTATTGCTGCAGTTGTACACCTAATTTTACTGATAAGAATTAACATTTACGTAATACCAGTAACTTACTGTTCGTAATTACTCAGCCAATCAGTGATGGAAAAGATTTTAAAAGTGTAGGTAAACAAATTTTAATGGTTTCATTGAGTGCAGTTCAAAAATAGTTTATTTGTTAAAATAGGACTTGAAAGCCTTGTTTTTAAATTAAATTTGTTTTTGAATTTAATTTGTTAAATGCCGTTTGTCTTAATGTAAACTGTGGAGGTTGCAATGCCTTTTCCTTAATAGTATCGATCGTGGTAAGGCCTCATTTGAAAAAATACAGAATAACCGGATAAGAGGAAGTGACTTAATTTTTTCCCAGTTATTATCTAATGATGTATTTTAAATCAATCACTTTTTCTGTGATTTCTTATGTAAGAAAATTTTTATTGAAAAGTCTTTCATTTCTCATGATGGGGATAAATTCGAAACTTGTAAATTATTGATTTTCACAAATTTTGCTGATAAGCTTGTACATCAGTAGAATTTGCATTTTATTGAAAACAGTTCATAGTTCCATCATACCTAATAAGTCCATGGATCCTGTGTATAATAATAATCAATAGTAATATTATTTATAAAGCATCATCTGACGGTCTATCTAGACAATGTCCTTTAATTCCTCTTTCTAGCTGAATAGACCTATTAATAAATATTACAATAATAATTCTGTTGTTCAATCATTATATCTGGTATTTTAGGGATCAACATTGATCTGCAAATTTTTTGTTTTTTATCTAATTTGAAATTGTGTAAAAAATTACCCTGGGCAAATTGCACAACTATACATTTTTATGATATTACTTTATTAAATCTTCTCAAAGGTGCAGCCACTGATATCATAGTGTTTGGACAGCATGATTTCATACCAGCATGTTTAGAACCTTTGAGCATTCTTTAGCAACAACAAGCATTCTTTTATATTGTATGATTGTTTATTACTGTTTTTTTTGTACTTCTGTTTTAGTTCCATTTTCTGTTCTGATTCTTATTTTATGTTCTTGTTTTAATCTTTGGTTTTTGCACAGATCAAGATAAAAATTGGGAGCTGAATTCTGAAACCTAACAATCCCAATGTGCCTGTCCTGAATCAGAAACTTTGTATTATGTGTAGTCTGTTAAATTTGCTCAGTACTTTACCAGACTCAATACATTTTAGAGCTTCACATATGGTATAGACACTTGTCTTTAGTTCACAATGTTGACCTCTAGATGTCCTTTTGTTTTTTGTGCTGTTGGATTGCTGTCTTACTTAAATATACAAAGAATCTCCTTTTATTTATAATTTATACACTTAGTTTCCTACAGTGAAATAAAATATTTCATTTTCTAAAACGATATGATGTTTCAGTTATCATTAACTGTGAGAAAGCAGGAAAATCCCAAATATTTGGAAGTCCTTTCTTTATACTTAGTTAATGTTTGCTATGAAAGATTTATAGCCATAACATCAAGTTAATTATTTCATAAAGCTTAAAAAGCAATCTTAATATTAACTATAGATCTTATTGGCTAATGATAGTTAATCCCCATAGGCTCCTAAACTGGTATCCCTTTACATTATTGGCTCATAAACTGGTATCCCTTCAGAAAATTGGACTTTTTACTCTCTCCATAGGCTCCTAAATTGGTATTCCTCCAGAAAGTTGGACTTTTTTCTCTGTTATCACCTGTTACAGTTTAAAATGGTTTCAATAAAGTACCTGAAGTATTGTATTGTTATTTTCCATTTGTTCAAGTTTTAAGTTTTAAAGTTTTTATGTTAAGAAGTATTATTAATAACTTTATTTCCTTTGTGATGCAAGAGTTTATGCAAACATTTTCCAACTTCTACAAGTTAACCATCTGTAGGGGTTTAAACAGTGTAAAAATTTTAATGCCACAAGGACAGTAATCAATTATTGAATTGAAAAGCGAACATTTTAATACAATTATCTTCAGATTTCTAATGATGAAACTAGCCTTTGGCTATGACAGTTATAATGATCATTGTCAAGGGATGGTGTTATGACATTAAAATGTATGAATTATGTGT